ATCCCCGGCCAGCCAGGGAGCAACCCACATGGCGCGGCAGACCTCTCCTGACTCGCCCGCTGCTCCCCTCAGCAGTGTGTTTCAGTCAGTCTGCCTGTTCTGCATCCCACTCTGTCTCTGGTGAATCCTCTCACCCCCTCCTCACACCCCTCTGGCCTGTACCCCAGCTCTTATATGCATAAAAATAAATTTTTTTTTAAAAAAAAGCCAAGGGGACATTCAAAATGTACTACTCCTTAGAATGTTCTTGTCTTAGGCTGGTTTGGGTCAGCCGACAGCATTCTTCCCATAAACTAAACTGTCTCAGGAGCTCAAGGCATAGGTGGGAATTCCATTTTAGCGTGAAATTCTCAAAACATGTTAGTGTGACTTCGGTGTGGATGACACTGAGAAGGGAGAATGTGGTTCAGGACGAAACGTGTAGCTCCAGCCTGCAGGCGGTCAGACGGGTGTTGTCTGGGTTGGAGCAAAGCAAGGTCAGAGAGCTGGTTAGGGGCAGACACGGGGGGGGGGGGGGGGGACTCTGCAAGAACAAGAGCGAAGGTCCCAGGTGGCAACAGGATGTGGCAGGAAGAAGGGCAGCTCACCCAGGAGGGCTGGAGACAGGGAGAGGAGGCAGGGATGGGCAGGATCAGACCAGTGAGGACAGGGAAGGCTTTAAGAAAGGGTATTTGTGACATTCCAAGCACAGCAAGACCATGGGAAGGCTTGAAGCAGCAGAAAGAGTGATCTATGCTTTCACTCTTCAACTGGTTGTGGGATGGAGGATGTTTAAGGAAGGCGGGATAACTAGTGAGGGGGCATCAGTCTTGGCCTAGTACCTTGCAGCCATCCTGGGCTGGTAGGTGCATTGTCAGTTCCCAAAGAGAATCTGGAGCCTTCTGTGGAGTTTTGCAGTCCCTTAGGCTGAGACGGGTCGTGTGCACAGGCAAGCTACAGAGCACAAGACTCCCACTCTGAGAGAGGCAGAACAGCAGCTCCCCTCCAGCCAGAGTAGCTGGGCGGGTGGATAACTATGGCTATGAGGGGGCCATGTCGGGCCTCCCTGGTGGCCTAGGGGTGAAGGCTCAACACTATCAATTCTGCGGCCTGAATTCCACCCCAGCCAGGGAGGTACCCACACAGTGCAGCAGACCTCTCCTCTCTCCCCCGCTGGCCCCCACAGCAGTCGATTTCAGTGGATCCACCTGTTCTGCTCCCCCACTGTGTCTCTGGTGAATCCCCTCATTCCTGCACCCCTAGCAGACACCCCTGCTCTGTAGAGAATGTTGGAAGCCACAGGATGGATTAGTTCAGTCAGGGACAGCAAAGCAGAGAAGGAGAGATGCAAGCAGGCTTGAGAGAAAAGCAGGACTGAGCATTGGAGTTGGCAGCCGAAATGGAAGTGACCATAACTCCCTCTGCGCGGCAACTCAGGAGCAGCAACAGTTGGCAGGAGGGAGCAGCAGAACCTCTCACAGCCACTGATGGGTCAGGTCCCCAGGGGGACATGGGCCAGCAGGAGCCAGCCCTGCGTATCCTCACACCCTGAGACAAATCTGGCTCTCCGCTCTCCAGACCCGGGAAAAGAGACACTGGAGCAATATCAGACCCAGACCCGACACCCCTGAGCCAATGCTTCTGAGTTTTGGGGCTGCAACTGCGCTCCAGGCTGCTCAGGCGAGACTCGGTCCTCAGCTGATACAGTGAGTGAACGATCAGGGTAGGCCTGGGGTGGGGGAGGTGAAAGGAATCTGCAGTCTGAGTAGCAGCAGAACCCCCGTTGTTCACCTGAACCCACATTTCCAGATGGCAGGTCATTCCTGCCAGGGCTCAGGGTCACAGCGTCCAGACCTGTCTTTGGCCAACCAAGCCGCCCCCAATTCCAGCAAGAAGCAGCTATTTCTAAGCCAGAAATCTCAGTGGGAGCTGACCACCCCCGCTGCCCGCAGCCCTATCTGAGTCAGGTCAGGGGGGTGTCCCCACTCGGGGGGCGACCATGGCAGGCAGCACTGCGTGACGGACACACACCCCGTGTCGTGCTGCTGGCGACACTCTTGACAGTGAGGGAAGGGGCTGTGGGCTCGCACCAGCAGGCAAGCCAGGCGAGCAGCAGACACGGGGAAGAGGGGAGCGAGAGGCCGAGCTTTACAGCATCTGCCCGCCTGCCAGAGCCGCCCCGGCCTCCGGCCTGGCCTGGAGGTGGCCGATGGGCACGCTCAGCTCACGGGCAAAGATGGAGGAAAACCCCGGCCCAGAGAGCTTGCAATGTTGGCATGTGACGAACGGGCTGTGTTGGGTCTCGTGCGCCCAACACGACGTCGTTTACAATGTCAGTTGTGGTGGAGCGTGGCTTTGAGACAGCAGCGTGGAAGGCAGTGACTGTGTGGAGCGCCCGCTCAGAGCAGGGCAAAAAAGCTAGGACAGGTCTCCTCGCTACAGATCAAGCGGCCTCCAAGCCTTCTCTGGGTTCTCCTTAACTGGGGACAGGTCCATCTCCAGGAAGCCCTGGAAACACACCTCTTGGCAGTTGCGTTTCCCTTAAGGCCGAGAAGCCACTGGGGTTTCCCTTGCCCAGGGCGGCGGCCCCCTTCGGCTCATAAAGGGCCGACTGCATAAAGGGCCACCGTGATGGCGCCCCGGCCCTGCCTATATAAGCCCGGCCCGGCTGCCGCTGCGTGTCCTTAAGAGCCAGGAAGCCTCTGGATAGCGACCTGCAGACTCGGACGGAAGGTAGCGTGGTGGTGTGGTTTATGTGGTTTTCCTCTGGTTTTTCTGTTTATTTAGTTCTTTATTTTAGTTCTTTATTTTAGTTACTGTATTTTTATTTTTGTCTTGTTTTCTTGTATTGTTTTGTTACTTGCTTATTTTTTTTTCTATTTTTTTCTTTATTATTTTAATTTGTGCTGTTTTATTTTAGTTTTTTATTTTTCCTTTTTGTGTCTCCTCCCCACCCCCCACCCCGTCCCGTCCAGTCCCGTGTCCCTCCCCTTCTCCCCCCTTTCCCCTTGTTATTTTGTCGTGTGTTCGTTTTTCCCCTTTGTCGTCGGTCTATTTTGTTGTTGGTGTCAGTTTCTAATTGTTTGTCCTGTTGTCTGTTCTTTGTCCTTGCTGTTGTTCTATGTTGTATTCGTGAATGTAATGGCTTGTTTGTGATTGGTTTGTTTTGATCGTGTTTTTAAATGTTTATATCATTTGTATTTTTTTGGTTGTGTATGTTCATTTATCTTTGGTGTAGATAGTTAGTGTTAGTGTTAGTGTTCTAGTAAGGTTAGCATAGTAAGGTTAGTGTAGTTGTAGGTAGAGTTAAGGTAGCTTTGTTAGTATTTAGTTAGCTTAGTGGGTAATTTTGTATACTATTAATCCTATATTGTTAGTGTAGTTAGTTAATATAGTATTAACCCTTGTAAATACTATCGGGGAGAGCGTGAGGTCAGGAGAGGCAGCGCCAGGGCCGCCAGCGCAGTCAGGGCCGCGGGGACAGCCCGCCGGGTCCGCACTCGCTATGTTCAGGCCCTGCGCTCTCGGGGCCCCCAGCATGAAAAACTACCGGGTGCTGCGCACGCTGGGGGCGGGTGCCTGCGCCAAAGTCAAGCTGGCGCTACACTTGGTGACCGGCACGGAGGTGGCCATCAAGTTCATCTGCAAGGCCAGGCAGGCGCGCCTCGAGTTCCTGGCCCGCGAGGTGGCTTGTATGAAAGCGCTGCAGCACCCCAACATCATCCAGCTGTTCGAGGTGCTGGACACCCCGGAGGAACTCCTCCTGGTCATGGAGTATGCGGGCGGGGGAACCTGCTGGACTACCTGCTCCGGCGCGGGCGCCTGGAGGAGCTCGAGGCGCGCCACAAGTTCCAGCAGATCCTGGCGGCGGTCGCGCACTGCCACGCGCGGGGCATCGTGCATCGCGACCTCAAGCCGGAGAACATCCTCATGGACCGCGAGCACAACCTCAAGCTCAGCGACTTCGGGCTGAGCATCGAGTGCGCGGGCGCGGCGCTCAGCACCTTCTGCGGCAGCCCCGAGTATGCGGCGCCCGAGATCTTCCTGCACCGCCCGTACGCGGGCCCCGCCGTGGACGTGTGGAGCCTGGGGGTGGTGCTCTACAGGATGGTCACGGGCGCGCTGCCCTTCCGGGGCTCCGACCTCGTGGAGATCCGGGACCGCGTGGTCAGCGGGCACTTCCACCTGCCCCCCTACCTCTCGGCCCAGTGCCGGGACCTCCTGGGTAGAATGATGGTGCTGGACCCCCAGGGGCGCAGCAGCCTGGAGGCCATCCAGCAGCACCCGTGGGTGCGGCCGACTCAGGGGCTCCTGGCCGTCCGCGAGCCGTCGCCCAGCCACCACGACGCGGCCCTGGCGGAGGCCATGGTGAGTATGGGCGATCAGAGACAGCAGAGCCAGACGGCCGTGGTGGAGCGAAGATTCGACGAGGTGATGGGGTCGGACCTCATCCTGGGTCCCGGAGGCGGGGGGAGGGGAGCCCCGAGGAGGGGGAGGCGTGGCCGAGTCTCCCCGCCCCCCAGGAGCCCTGCCCACGCGCCGTGACCCCTGGTGCCCGGGACTCCGGGGAGGGCCTCCTGCAGGTGTCCGGGGATGAGCAAAGCCAGGAGGCTGGACAGACAGAGGATGCCGCTGCGTCAGCTGTGTTCAGCCTCCTGGCCACCCCGGGCCGCAGGACCAATTGCGTGAAAATCCCGCAGGACCGAGCCTCAGGGCGCAGTGCCAGCTCCCCGTCAAGCCCCCAGGTGGGGGATACCCGGGAGGACTCTTCCACCCCCACGCCGGGCCCCCTGCAGAGGGACGCCCCAGAGCGCAGCGCCACCCCCACGCCGGGCCCCCTGCGGAAGGACGCCTGGGAGGAGAGCGACACCTCCATTCTGGACATCCTGCAGGAGGTTGCCCCGGAGCCCAGCGCCACGTCAATTCCGGGCCCCCAGGTGGAGGACAGCGCCACCCCCAGGTCACGCCCCCTGCGGAGGACGCCTGGGAGGAGAGCGCCACCTCCATTCCGGACCCCTGCAGGAGGGTGCCCCAGATCAGAGCACCACCTCAATTCCAGGCCCCCAGGCAGAGGACAGCGCCACCTCCATTCTAGACCCCCCGCAGGAGGATGCCCCAGAGCAAAGCGCCACATCCATTCCGGGCCCCCAGGTGCAGGACACCAAGGAGGGTGGTAGCACCACCACCATGCCAGGCCCCCTGGTGGAGGGTGAACAGGAAAGCAAGAAGGGACCAGTCAGTCCTGCCCCCCAGTCCCCCCTCACCAACCTCAGACCTCCCCCAAGACGCCGCTGGCTCCTCAAGTTCCGCAGGAATGCGGTGGCTCCTGCAGAAAGCCATGAAGACAATGACACCTCAGTCCCATCCATTAGCTCTAGCCAAGGCGGGCGGGCCAGCAGGAGGATAATGAATGCCCTGCTAAATTTGTGCTGTTTCTGCCGACCACACCACTGAAAACACGGCAAGGGTGTTCACCCACCCGACAACTCATAAGACTGCCACACCCTGCAGACGTCCCGCCCAAAATGCAGCCACCAAGTGAGCAGGAGCATGCCAGGGGAGGGCGAGGCTCTGGAGAGGGGTCAGGGCCTGGGCCCAGTCAGAGGGGCCAGGAGAAGCATGACGCACACAGGACCTGATCACAGATGTCCGCGGAACACAGATGTCCTGGAGCAGAGCAGGTGAAGGGCCAGGAGGGCAATGGAACTGGTGAAGCACCTGGGGTGGGGGCGAGCAAAGCGGGTGAAAGGGGTGGGTGAGCAAAGCGGGTGAAGGGGGGCGAGTGGAGGTTGGAGGCAGCTGAACAGATGAAGGGTGGGGAGTGGAGCTGTGCAGGGGCGGAGCTCCCAGAGGCCCCAGGGCCAGAGGCGGCGGGGAACCCACGGCCTTGCTTCCCACCTTAGGCTCTGTCCTGTGAAGGCCTCCCCGCCCCCTTGCTGGGACAGCCCTGCTGCTGGCGCCTGGGCACACGGATGGCGCAGAGGATGCAGGAGCTCTGTGGTCTGAGTGGCATTGTCATTGACTGACGGACACGGTAGGAAGTCCCCCTGGCTTGGGCCCCTTTTAAAAACTGAAGCTCCAAGTTGGAGAATAGCTCACCTGCCAGCTAGTGGTAGGGCCTCCTGGTTTCCTTCTGAGCCCTGCCCAATCACCTCTGTGCAACGCTCCTCGGGGGATTTCACTCACACACGAGCATCCTGAACACTTCACTCTCTGCTTGGGCTTTACTGGCTCTTCTCTTCCCACGCAGGTCCCGGACGGCGCAGGAGGTGGCCGCGATGGGCAGACGGGCTCCCCACTGCAGAGGGGACCTCCAGGTGACCGGCTCTGCCTCTAGGGCGCTGGGGCGTGGAGGCATCTGAATGCTGTTTCTCGGCCTGATGGAGACACTCAGAAATGGATTGCTTTGTTAGCGTGTCTATGCCATGACTCATTAAATCATTGTTTGAAACCGACCTTATTTGCTTCTCATTTACGAACGTGCCTGCACTTCCAACACCTGGGTCATCAGATACCTAAATTTGCTTTAAAATTCCTATGATCAGCACTGGAAATTTAAGAAAATTTAGAAAATTTTAGAAAGCATTGAGAAAATTTTAGAAGTCAGGTGGATCACACGGTGATAGCACAGTGAGATGGAGAGTGGCGCAGAGCTGCCAATGAGTATGTCATTAGGTATTTGCACTATGTTCTTTATGTGTATGTGCATTTCACAGTGTCTGTGCAAGTGTGTGCATGTGGGTGCTTCTATATGTATGAAGTGTTCATGTACCTTCTACTGTCAGAAAGACACTCAGAGAGCTGTAGAGAATTGGTACAATGTCTTCAAAAGTGGGGCCACCCTGGTGGCACAAGGGGTTCAGCACAGCACTGTGAAGCTATGGGCAGTCTCTGCAGCACGAGTTCCATCCCTGGTTGGCCAGGGAGCTACCCACAGGGCACAGCAGACCTCTCCTGTCTCCCCGCTGTTCCCCTCAGCAGTGGATTTTAGTCGGTCTGCCTTTTCTGCTCCCCGCTCTGTCTCTGGGGAATCCTCTCACCTCCTGTACCTCTGGCCTGTACCTCAGTTCTTGTGTGCATAAATAAATAAACCTTTAAAAAAATTTTAAAGTTTGGTAGAATTAACCCATCAAACCCTAGTTTATTCTGGTTTATAATTGTATTATTCGGGCCCTCCCTGGGGGTGCAGGAGTTAAAGTCGCCGTGCTATGAAGCTTTCACCAGACACTGAGGCATAATTTCAGGAGTTTGATCCCCAGCCCAGGAGCTGACCCACACCCGAGAGGGCAGGAGACCTCTCCTATCTCCCCACTGCTCCCCTCAGTTGTGGATTTCAGTGGATCCACCTGTTCTGCTCCCCACTCTGTTGAGTCCTCTCACCCACTGCACCTCTGGCCTACACTCCAGTTCTTGCATGCATAATTAAATAAATCTTTTAAAAAAGGGTATTATTCAATTTGCCATCGATTTTAATGCTCAATATTCAAAACAAGATATCCTTACTTTGAAATAAAACATCTATTTTTGTTTACTGTATTCGAACATTTCATAGAAGCAATGACCTCAAACTGTTATTTCATTTAGTTCCAACAAATGCTTATGTTGATGTTCATTAATTTTTCCAGTAATTAGAAAAAAATAGAGTAAAAAAAGTATTTTTGATACTAAATCATAACATGCTTTTTGAAAGATCTTAAATATAAGACTGAAATTGTTATACATTTTCCTAATTCATTTAAGATTTATTGGTTGGTAAGTGAGCATATTTTAAAAAGTACTATTTAAAAACAATACAAATGATATACTGTATTTTTGAAGACTTCTTAAGTGATTTATAACTTAGATAATATTACAAACTTAAAATTAGTGATATTATTAGTAACATCATATATAAAATCTAATGATATTTTCGATCTCCCACATTTTTCCATATAATACCATGTAACATGGTGTATACCGTATAATGTGTTCTTATACCATATACTGTCTTATACCATATACTGTTCTTATACCCTATACCGTATACTGTCTGTGTACACCTATGTATCCTATTATGTAAGTGATAGTGAGGGTTTATTTTTATTTGAATCAAAATGATGTTTTATAAAGGAATTGAGTATAATAATTTACAATACTAGAGTTAGATTAAATGATACTTGGATACAAACAGGAAAAAATAGAGTATGTGCAGATACTTTTAAACTCCCGTTTCCTGTGATTATCCAGAATAACTTTTAAATACTGATCAAAATTTATTTCCATAGACTAGACTTAGTCTGTCTCGAGCCTATTGCTGTCATTTTTCATGTTGTATGATTTGCAGATATACTTCAATAAAAATGATTTTTATAGTTGTTAGATATACATTATGCAATGCTCATTTAAACATATTAGCTTTTACTGTACTTGCCTTGATTTTCAAGCAAAATTTTATGTCACAGTACATTAATTTCTATTATCTATCTTTGCACTTTTTCATTAACACATTTTATTACAATAAACAAAAGTAAAGATGGTGTTAGTTGTTTGACTCCAGGCTGCAGTTATTTCACCAAACATCTGGAAGACAAATGAATGGAACAGACTATTGTTGTAATTATATTTATTGATTTGAGTGTTTTTAAATTCTTATTTATTTTGAACAATAATGTATTTGTGTCTATAAATTGATTAATGGATTCTAATCTTAATCATGAAATAGTAGAAGTTACAGCTGGCTAAGTAATGTGGTTTCTTACAAATTACTTCAATTACAGATGCCAAGCATTCTGCATTCCCCACTTAACAAGAAGTGGTTTGCCAAGAAGTTTCTTTAATGATCAGCTTGTCTCTGTACTGGCACAGCTGTTGGAAAAGAAACTACCCATATCAAACGTACCTCATCCCAAAACTCAATCCCCAACTACACAGCTACACAGTGTGTCTACACAATTATTCCAGGCTTGAGGTGGTGTATGATCTGATATCTTCCCAGTAACAACAGTTGAAACAGTTAGCTTGTATTTATATTTAATTGTTTGCATCATGTTTACCATGCTTTTGAATAATAGAAATAGCCTGCATTGACTAGCAATTACAATATTAAAATACTGTGGGATTTTAACGTGTAAAGTTATGCAGGTTAAAACTGTTCTTTCCTAATTGTCACTTTATGCTATTTTTAAAATTTAGATATTACTTTGAAAATGGGCCTCCCTGGTGACACAGGGGTAAAGGCGTGCTATCAAGCTATCAGCAGCCAT